CTGCTTTTTCAGATATTTGTACACGGACGAGGTGCTGTTGGACGACGACAACGTCCTGCCCACTTTATATGCGTCCAAAAAGTATCTCGTCAACTATCTGACTGCCGAATGCATCCGATTCCTCGACAGATCCCTCACCGCATCTAATGTCTGCCTGTTTCTGTCTCAGAGCAGACTCTTTGAAGAGAATGAACTAATGCAGAAGTAAGTGAACATGGTTGGATTTTTGAACCTGACAAAACCAAGTTAAACGTCAGCTCACCGCAGTGCAATCTCGATATCCCGTCACGAAACGTGGTAACCAGGGTACAAGATGGTGTTACAGGGTGATGCACGAAACAGTTTATATTAGTGAACCAAAGTCATGAAAGCCTGTCATGAGGTCCGAGACAGTCGGGTGATGGTTTAGTACTAACAACGGTTGACCCAGCTGCATATCTCAAGACAGATGTTCCTATGAGGTGGAAAGTCGAACTATAATCTCAAATGACTGGGAACCGTTGCATGTTGCACCTTTGAACCGTGGGTGACGACTCCTGGATTAAGTCAAGAAAAAATCTCGAAAATGTTCAAGACATGACAGAAAAATGGCGAACAGATAATTATTCAACATTATTCTGTCATAGAATACTACGTGATGGCGCGACTGCAAGGTAAGAAGGAGGTCAGCTTTGAACTCTGGAGATGCCGGGTTTGAATCCAAAGATGAGACAATCCATTTCTTAGCCGCGTATTCCCTTAAGCAACGAATTTACCCTACGTTGCTTTGGTCCAACCATCTTAGAAACGGATAGCAAGTCACTGCCTTGTGAATAACAGAGATAGCGTTGTATTCGATTATGTTCATTCCAAAATGGACGACGTGCATAGCCATACTCTCTGATGCGAGTATACCTTTTTCCACGGTAGTCCTTGAAAAAACATTGTCCACGATAGTCACCTTGTGGTCATTCATATGGATGGCCGACTGCGTTTGCTAGTTGTAACAAGTTACAGCCTTTTCTCACAAGGCCTCCTAGACGCATTAGTTAGCACCACCCTTTGTGAAGGTGCAATGCAATCATTTCAGCCAGCTGAGATGTTGTCAGTCAAAGAACTCGGCTGTTCACTCTCTACCTTGCTCATTACGTCATTGCGCCAATAGGTTCTCATACATATTAGGTGCACCGCAGTTCAGAAGGGGAACATTCCTGCTCAGGGGATTTAAGACTTAATGATGTAACTGTTACTCCTCTGTGGAATCTGAAGTGCAATGTGTGCACTGGTTGTTCACTGCTTCCTGCTTATTTTTTTGTTTAAATCGTGCCCTTATGTTTTGGTTTTAGTTTATGCTTTAGACGTTTCTCTGGAGCTACTGCTGGCTGTTTGATTAGGCCGACTGGCTTTATAAACAAACTTGTGTTTAGATGTTGGGACGTTATC